TCATTAATTGATCGTTTTGCTTGATCGCCGAATAATGCAAGTGGAGATTCGTCCATATTGAGTACGTCACGAGGAGTAAAGGCCCTCATTGGGCCACGTTTTGGAGCCCATCGGCTAGCTCGTCGTAGATAATTATAGAATGAAGTAGCTTTTTGATGAACTTCGGCGAGTGGAAATTTTTGTTGTCGTTTTGGACGTTGAAGAGAAAGTCGCTGGCTAACGAGAAAACGACCAAACCATTTTGATGATGGACATGGGTGATTTAATTCTCGGCCTAATTGTCGTCCACGACGTTGAAGATAACGAAATGTTACTTTTTCTTTACGAATACAGCAACAGGTGTTGTTGTTGATCCAGGATCAGTACGTTTTTGCCGATACCAGACAAGTAAACGAGAATCACGGTCCACATAAGTTAATCTTTTACCAGCTCCATTGCGACGCATGCGTTTTTTATCTAAAGAAAAAAATTAGAAATTGTTTTACTTTTTAAATGTAATAAAAATGGATTCCTCACCTTTCTTTTGAGATGACAATTTTATTAATTCATCTTTGTTCTTGATCCACATACGAAGTTGTTTTGTAGCACATCCGATATCATTGGCTGTTTGAGATTTGTTGTTGTTCTTTTCGAAGTAGACGATCGCATTTAATTTTTCGTTTACGGTCCATTGACGACGCTGAGTGTGTGTGTGGGTGTGGGTGAAATTTATATTTATCATACATACTCACACCCACACCCCACACCCACACCCTCAAGATTTGAATAAGAATTAGAATATTTGCTACTTCTAAAATTATAGAAGATAATTAACTTTCAAGAAGAATTTGTGTAAAAACAAAGTCCATTTTCTTTTTACGTTTAAAAAAGTAATAATTAAGCACACAATTGATAAGGACAACTTGAATAGAGATGTGACATTAACAAACTTCTGAATGATATAAAATAGAGAAAGATTAGTCAATATATTATATTTGACTATTTTGTTGTAATTAATGATGTGACGCATCATCCATTCACATAGAGTTTGATAGAATAAAGATATTTGATTACACAGAATTCATTTTTTTTTGTTTGATTGTTACTTTAAAATTAGAGAAATTTAATGAAAAATGGTTCAGTGAACTGATTAATTCCATAAGCGATACTAACAACAAATTTAAATTATTTGATCGACTGCAAAAAACGTAATTGTATAGATAATCAAATTTTTCTTTCTTCTAGTAAAAGCAACTCATTAAGCTAGACACACGCATGCTTCTCTATGCGTCAATGAACACTGATTGCTTATTTGAATAACTATTATTACTTGTTAGTCAATGTTCACTTCTTATTCTTGATTTCATGCCGAGTATTATATCAACAATTAAAAATTAAAATAAAATTTTTATTTTTAATGACGATGAAATATTTTCTCTCGAA